CCCCTCCCTTGCGCTCTTGCTCTTTGCCACCGCCATGAAAGGTTGCTTTCTGCTCTGTGCTGCTCTGCCTTGGACCCAGATGAGTATGGACTGAAACCTCCAGTAACTGTGAGCTAAATAAACCTTTCCTTCCTTCATTTTGAGTGTCGGGTATTTGTCCCAGCAACGAGAGAAGAGTAACTAAGACACAGTGAGACCATCTCAAAATAATAAATAAAAAGGTGAGGGGAGCCGGGGAATGTACCTCAGTAGAAAGACACTGGGTTCAAGCTCCAGTTCTACCACCATCACAACAAAATACACACATATAAAAAACTAGGGCTATTAGAAAACCAAGGTTTCATTGGGACCAGGATAATACATGAACCAGGGTGAGCTCAAATTTACAAATGGTTACCAGTCCAGTAACTGAAGCACATTATGCCTAGGAGGAATAATAAAACTGTAGGTAAGATAAAAAGACTGATTCTAGATCACAATGGGTCTGAAAGTCATGCTAAGGAATCTGAACTTTTTAATATGGGCAATGGAAATCCATGGAATCTTAAGGCAAAAGTAACTGTTCGACAGTGATAATGTGTTGTATGTTAAGTACTATAATAGTATCTGAGCATTAGGAAGGTAACTAATGACAAAATGAAAGGGCTACAGATTGAAAGGGAAAGAGAAGCAGTAAGGTCAGAATATTACCCTTAAATCAAAAATAAAGGACTGAGCTGTGTGGTAACAGAAGGCATGAAAATAATGCTAACTGCATTTGGTACAATAAATAACAAAAACTGTGAACTTAGGAACTAATTGATGTTTGCATTGTAATGAGGATGGCAGATACAAGAAAGTCTTCCTATGTTAGGTCACTAAGTGACTGGTTGCCAGTTACAGGAGCCAGAAAACCAGAATGAACTGCCAAGTTAGGATACAGAATGAACTGTATCCCTGTGTGAGAATTTAAAGGCATGTAAATCCAGGAAAGAGTAGAAAAGGAGCAATGAGTTTTACATGTTAGCTTTTCCATAGAATATTGTGGCTTCACTATATAAACTATCTGTGGATTTGTTCTGAAACTCAAATGTCAGCACTGGAGAAAGCCTAGGAGCTATCAGTATCTACCTCTACTTCTCTCACACTTCTGCAACCTCTTGGGCTCCTCCCTTAGGATGAGCAATGGTGCACAGGGTGGGGTTCAATTAACATGCACAATTCATCTGCTAAAGAAGGGCTAGTAGGCTGCTTCAGCAGCAGTGACTTTCTCTTAGGGCTTCTCCCTTTTGTTCTGGGAACAAGACTCTTGCAGTTGTATAAGCATTTTGGATGGCTGCTTATATCACATGGCATAATGCAGAAACAACTGGTATGACTGAAGCCCTGGAATGCAAATGGGTGGTAAATGAATTCAAGAATGCCTGCCTCCTCTGTATTTTCTTTGCATTTCTACTAAACTCCAAATTAAGAAGAGTGACTGAATATAGCAAATTCAGGTAAATATTTTACTGATGAGGATCTCCACGGTGGCAAAATGCAACCCCTTAACCAAGTCTCAAGGAAACACGCATGCGCATGCACACACACACACACACACACACACACACACAGCAGGGCTACTGGGCAAACACATGTGACCAGACTGAAAATGTAAACTATAGCTAATCCTTATGCCCGTCCTCCAAAATGCCTGCTGAAAAAAGTTGCTTTGCACAAACAAAGACATTTGACACAATTTTAATATTTTCTTAAAAAAATACAAAGGAAATGAACTCTGTCAGTTATTACAGCTCAGAGAAGGAAGGAAAAAACGGAGTTTCAAAGCAAAGGGAAAGTGCATCCTTGTTTCAGTCATCACATCCCCACACTTGCAGTTCCCGTAAAATAAGAACTTTACTCTGTAATGCAGGAGAGCTCAGTATGTGACAGCAGAGGTGCTAGAACTAACTGGAAAAACACTAAATGTACCAAACACAGCAGTAAAAACCACTCTTTAGCAGAACTGTGCCCTTGAAAAAAGTGGGGCAGTAATCAGGTAGCTGAACTGCTAGACTGCTGCCACTCCCATCCCATCCCCAAATAAATAGTAAGTGTACCGGAGTAGTAGTATTTGTTCAATAGACAGGTAGTCTTTCACCCATTCAAGACAAACACTGCCATGGCTACATGAACCCTGGCATGGAATAAGACAACTGTAAAATCACAGGTACTTATTGTTAGTCCCTAGCATATTGAATTTCTACAGTTATGCCAGCTCTTATCCCAGTATCTGCTCAGTCTGTTATTCTCTCATGGTTTTCAGTGGCAAGATATACAACACTCTACTTTTGAAAGACCTTGGGGAAATAAAAATATCGTTCCAATAGTATGTCTTCCTCAGTCTCCCAAGTTATACTTCAGTGGTGTTCCAGGTTCATTCACATTCCATCAAGTTTAGCTCTTGTCATGTATTCTAACCTCAGTGCTGATATACCAACCCTGTTCCCCATCAGCAAGGGATTATCACATGACTCTCCTCCTGGTACCCAAGTTATGATGGGGGTCTCTGTCCTCTTCCTTCACAATGAAACTGTAGTGCCCCTAGCTCCTTGTATTTGAGAAAAGATTTTTGTTCTTGGAAATAAATACTTGGATTTTACCAACCTTACTTGAGCCGGTATCCTTCCAATTCTCCAGGCTGGACACTGTCCACATGTCATGCTCTGAAATATGTGAGGCACAACATAACGTATTCTCCAAGAATGTAGAAAGTTAGAAACAACAAGAGTACTCTCCAGACCAGATGGAGAAGGATCCAGTTCTCTTAACATCCATTCAATGTGCATTCTCTTCTGTTACCCACCCTTCTGAGGGACTTAACCAGTGTGAGAAGGATATGTGTCACATAAGTACAATCACCACTGCACTGGTGCCTATAATCACCCTGTGCACAGAGTGTGAAATAAGACATTCTGGAAAGGATCCTTAATTCTCCCACAAATTGTCCCTTGAACTGGTCAATAGCTCTGTATGGTGCTCCAACAGTGGTCACTTCTCTCGGAGAACACACACACCAGCATCACAGCGCTGGGTTCCCATGGATGTCACCACTTCCCAGCTGTCAATGATAGGGTCATAGCACTCAATGCTACTCAACAAGGAATTGCCATCATATCTGAGGGGGAGGAAAAAAAAAATGAATTTTTTATTCCTTTACACATATGCTGTTCACTAACATTGTCACTGGAGCTGTCCTGCCACCCAACTTCTGGTCTCCATCCACAAACAGAAACTCTTGCCTTAGGTGTACCATGATGTTACCTTGGTTTTGAATTCCTCACCCTGCAATTGCATAGAGTCTCCCCCGAAGCACTGTAGCTCCGACATAGCACCGTGGAGTGGTCATACTAGTAATAGTTGTCCAGGAGTCAGTACGAATGTTGTACGCCTCAACAGAAGAAAGGTGGGCTGTACCATCAAATCCCCCCACTACATAAATATGATCATTCAGTAGGGCTACTCCGGCACCTGGAGAAAAAAAGAATTAGCACATGAATGGTTCTAAAGCCAGGATATAAATTCTAAAAACAAAACATGGTCCTTAATGGGTAGCTAAATTCTAGAGTAGATGAAGGATACAGAACTTGCTCAAACAGGCCCAAAAATTCAGTGTAGCACAGATTATTCTATCTGAAAACTCTCTTCTTAAGACTTGAAATGATAAGAGTTAAAAAAAAAAAGTGGCAATAAAGGTGAAAAGGAAGGGACAGAGCTGTGATTCCAATTCTGGTGTCACTTTTTATTCAGAGGAAGTAAAATGGAAAAGTATAGGACTTCAGTCTGACACTCCAAGTGATTTACTTCAAGAAGCTCTCAGTGAAGGAGAATATCTACTCTCCTATCTTCAATTCAATTCATTAGAAATTTTATTTAATAGACACTTAAGATGTAGCACATGCACAAAATTGTATTAGGTATTCTAGAATGCAGGAAGGTAACAGAAATGTAAAAAATAAGTAACATAAGACTTTTACCCTGAAATATGTAATATAATTAGAAGTTTAAGCTATTTTTTTTCCTACTAATTAGGGAAAACAGAGGGGAAGAGGAGACTGAAATCTTACTCATATTTACAATGAGTCTCTGATTTATTTTGTTCTACAGTTTATACCCATACTGCATGTGGAAAAGACTAGACAGCACTGTGGTTTACTGTCCCCTCCCTCACATCTGACTGGTCTTACCAGACCGCTTGGTGGCCATTGGTGTAACATTAGTCCAGTGTCCTGTGTGTGGATCATATTTCTCAACTGAATTTAGGATATTCAAGCCATCATATCCTCCTGGAAGACAAAGTAGAGATCATTCCAGAAAGAAAGGTATATTGTTAGGCCCATTCCCAGCTTGTCTTCTCTAAGTGCTCTAATTCTTCTACTATTAGTTCTCCCAGGGTTCTAACAACCCAAAGAGAACCTTTACTTTTCACTTAGAATAGTAAGATAATTCTAGTTAATTGAAAATATATTGAGATAAACTAGTTTTTATTGAAGTCTATATGAACTTAATTCTGATAAAAAAGGATCTCACCCAGAATCCACTAACCACTGAGTTCTCTCCATCTGTATCCCAGCCTAGTACCTAGACAGTAGATCACTCCACTGGCCACTACTAGTCCAGCACCCTCTCGGGCCGTTTGCATATCCCCCAGCATACTCCACTGGTCAATGTTTGGGTCATATCGCTCCATACTGGTATGACGCCTGCTTCCATCAAAGCCTCCAGAAACGTAGATCATATCTGCTCAGAATGAACAAATTACAGAGCATTAAAGAACCAGAGAGCTGGGTATGGTGGCATATTCCTGTAAGCCTGTAATCCCAGCACTCGGGAGGCTGAGGCAGGAGGATTGCTGCAAGTTCCAGGCCAGCCTGGATATAAAGTGAGCTCAGTGCCAGCCTGAACTGCATAGTGAGACCCTGTCTCAAAAAAAAGAAAGAAATTTCCAAAAACTTTTCTCTACAAGTTTTTTACAGGTCCTTCAGATGTCTGGGAGAAAAATAAAAAAAATAAAAACAAGAGACAGTTGCCCAGGTTGGACTCAAATTTGTGATCCTCTTGCCTCAGTCTCCCAAGTTGTAGGGATTATAGGCCTTCACTATAAAATTTTTTTTTTCTTTGCCATTCACTATAACTGACAAAGAATTTTTTAAATGGGGTAAGTCTATTAAATTTCACAGATAAGATAGCACAGTAGTAAGGACATTGAAAAAGAATAGTGTAAAATGAAATCCTTTATAAATATAGCCAGTTCAGATCGAGCACACTAGAAATTGAATTACCAACTTTGTATTCAAGTTTTGAAATGTCCACAAAAACCAAACAGCTTTTTTTAACATGCTACTTCCAAAAGCCAAAAGACTTTCTTTCTTTTTTTTTTCTTGGCAGAACCGGAGATTGAACTCAGGCCCTTGCGCTTGCTAGGCAGCTGCTTATTCTACTGAGCCATCTCCCCAACCCCAAGACTTTCTGACTGTACTGATTTCTCCTGTACATTCCATGCTCTTGCTATAGGTAAGCACACTGATCCAGCCAAAATAAGATGAAACACCACGCCTACCTCCCAGGGTGGTAGCCCCAGCAAGGCCGCGCCGGACATTCATCGGGGCCACAGAATACCAGACCCCGTCCTCATCTGCTGTGTAGTCCAGGCATTCCACTGAACTGAGGCGGGAACGGCCATCATAACCACCAATTACATAGATCCGGTCATGTAGGGACACTGAGGCCACATAACGTCTCTTACGAGTGATGCTCTACGGATTTAGGAAGGATGAGGTACAGAGCATTTCAGTCACAAAACTTTAGACCTTACTTTGCATTATCCTTACTACTTCCCACTTTTTTTTTCCCCACTTTTTTTTTTGAGATGGGCTCACTATGCAGTTCAAGCTGGTCTTAAACACACTCTCTCTCTCTCTGTGTATATATATGTGTGTGTATATATATGTGTGTGTGTGTATATATATATAAAATCTCCCACGCTGCCTCAGGCAATCTTCCTGCCTCAGCTTCCTGAGTGCTGGCATCACAGGTGTGTGCCACTGTGCCTGGCTCTCGTCATTTTTATGCTATTTCACCAGTCTCCATGAACCTCCTTGAGGAGTAGTTCATCTTCAAGTGTCCTGCAGCTGACTGCTTTCTACATCAAATGCTTGTTGTGGTCTTCTGACAGATGCAAGCCTTGTGCATATCTGCCTCATTTCAAGGCATCTGATAGATTCTGTGGCTTTCTATGAACAGCATCTGACTCCCTTCCTTTTCGTAAAATATTGAGCTAAGACACTGGTACTATTCCATTCTCAGAAACTATTATTATTTATAGAGCATTGAAATGAAGAAGTTATGAGGAACACTCAGGAGGAGGAGGATCATTGAGAGCTCAAGAGCAGTCTGGGCTACAAAGTAAGCTCAAGGCCAGCCTGAACTGCATATCAAGACCCTGTCTCAAAAAGATAGGGGGAAAAAAAAAAAAAGATAAAAATTTCTCAGTTCAACCAAATATTCACTTAATTTAACACAGTCTAACCCTGAGTTAAAGCATACCAGTGAAGCAGGCTGGGTGCCTAAATAGGGGCAGTCAACTGAACTGAGTTTGACACACAACATTTCTGAAACCAATCTTTTAATGTGAACAGTTAAAGACTATTTAGGGGGCTGGTGAGATGGCTCAGTGGTCTAAAGCACCTACTTGAAACAAGCTTGGCAAAACACAGGGACCGTGGTTCGATCCCCCAGCACCACATGCCAGCCAGCCCCGCCCCCTGGTGGGCTGAGCTGGCCACACACAGACACACAAAATAAATAAATAAATAAATGTTTAAAAATAATAATAATAATAAAGACTATTTAGTACCTACTCTGTATACAATAGTTTTGTAAAGAATCTTGTCCTGTTACCAGGCTTCTCTACTTTTAGGGCTGCATCAACTATCATCAATAGTCAGGGAAAGGTCATTTAGGCTTTCTGCCCATGGGTTGCACCATCACTTACTGGCAAAAAGCTCCACTCCTGAGTCTTGGGGTCATATTTCTCAACCACGTCAATGGGAGACTGCTGGCTTCCAAAGCCCCCAACCACTAGAAGAACTTCATTGGCGCCTAAAGACAAAGGCAGAAAAAAGGTCAGTTACTTTAGGATCCTTGGCTATGTAACTACTCCCAAGGAGCACGACATAGAAACAGTTTTAGGGTAGACTGTTTTCCTTGCCCAGGAGTAGTCTGAAATTGCAGACTCACTACATGGCTGCCTAGCAGGAACATGAATCTGGAGGACCTCAATCTCTGAAATGTAACTTCCTGGACAACATTAAAATTCTAGAAGGCAAACATGAATATACCACTATACCACAACAGCCCAGCTAGATGATGAAGTCTAACTCTGGTCCTAAGACCAAAGGTATTTTTTGCTTTTCTCAACCTGGGCAACCCAAATTGGGAGGTTTGGTCTCCCCTGCTTTTTTGTAATGGGAAACAAAATTCCTCTTTTTCATCAGAAAGTACGGGCTAAGACCTAGGAACCAAGATAGATAGATAGACAGACAGACAGATAGATAGATAGATGATAGATGATAGATAGATGCACACACACACACACACACACACACACACACACACCCGAACTAGGGATTGAACTCAGGCCCTTGTGCTTGCCAGGGAAGCGCTTATTTTACTGAGCCATCTCCCCAACCCCCAAGTTATATATTTCCCAAATCTCTTTTCTATGGCTATGTATCACTCCCCCTGCCAACTCATTAAAACTGCCAGACAAGAAAGACAAGGCTTTTAAAAGAAACCCTTATTTTCTGTTTTCCTAAAGAAGCCATTCTGACCACCTTTATCTTCTCTCCTTTCCTCTAAGGCTTTATTCTGATAAACTATTCTTTCAAAGAGCAAAATAACAGGAAATTCTCCATGTATTCTGTTCTGCTAAACTCATGAAGAGGAGTCTTGCAGAGCTCTGGATAGTTCAATCACTAGGAAGGCATTTAGAAGATCAGGTGATCTTATGAGCTACCTGTACTTGAAAAGGCAAATGTAGCTCCTTGTAAATTTTGTTTAAAAATGTATTCAGTACGGGGTCTACAGGGCCTCCCTACACAGACTGGACTTGAAGCGATCCTCCTGTTTTCAGCCTCCCAAGTGCTGGGATTACAGGTGTGCACCACCATGCCCAGTCTCAATCACTGTCTCAGCACACCCTGGGGGGACAGGGCCAGTACAGCATGCTGGGGATTGAACCCTGGTCCCTGCGTCTACCTAAGCAGGCATTTTAATCCACTGAACTATCTGGCCAGCCCTGCAAATGTAGCACCTCAAAGCTGACTAGAAGCCTGGATGAACCCCTAACGAGGCAACGAATCTGACAATGATCATCAATGGCTGCTATGATCAATACAGGGAAAGCTAATGTAGTATAATCAGACATTGTATTTCCTGATGTAACACATGGAAAGGGCAATACTGTTACCTATATAGTAATGTTTCTGAAAAAGCTGGACATGGGTGCAGTGGCATATGTCTATAATCCCAGGAACCTAGGAGGCTGAAGCAGGATGATCACACATTTGAGGCCAGTATGTACTACACAGGGAGTCTAAAAACGGCCTAGGCTAATAGCAAGACCCTGTTGCAAGAATAACTGCATAAAACTAAAACTAAAACTAAAGAGTTAGGGATATAGTTCAGTATCATAGTACTTGGCTAGCACACATAAGGTCCTAGGTTCAATCCCAACAACACACACACACACACACACACACACACACACTCAGAACTTGAATTTTACCAAACTTCTTTTCTACTAATCACCAGTCTCTAGAAACACAGCAGACAGAAGAATATGCTAAATGACAATGTAAGGACAAAATCAACAAAATTCATATTATGGAAAATTCCGTATGTCAAAGACCCTGGTTTCTTTACCAAATAAAATTTGTCAGAGAAAACTAAAACACAATGGGTAAACGATGTGATGTGTGGATTTTGGATCCTGATTTGAATACCAAATATTTGTAGGAAGAAATTCCATAGTATTTGGATGCACCAAAAAGACAGGAGAGGGACTGGGGCAGTGGAGCTCTTGCCCAGCATGTGCACAATTTGGTCCCCACACCACAAAAACACACTACGTAAGAGTTAAAAACTGTTGTACTTAAAACATTTCAGTGAGCAGCCTAATTGTTAAAATTCAGTGCATGAGTCTAAGTTAAGAGCAAGACAAAATAAATACTTTTGCACAGTACAGCCAGGCTTTTGGGAGAGTGAGGTATGCAGAATTGGAAATGAAATGTGAAGAAATATTTTGAGTACTTATTCTGTGCCAGCTACAATGTTAGCCCTCTTATCTCCATTATCTTATTTAATCCTCCTCACCCCCCATAACCCAGTGAATAAGAAATTAACCCTCATTTTAAAAGAAGAAACAGAGACTCAAATAGATTGACATGTTCAAACAGTTACTGGTGGGCTGGGCTTTGAAATAATATCTGTTGTATATATCAAGAATTGTCTGAACCTTCATATACAGTACTGCATTTACTCATTGTAACAGCCTTAGAGGTAGGTGCTGTGTGATTATCACTTTACAGATAAGGTAACTGAAGCAAAAAGGTGAAGGCTTTTGCCCAAGTGAATATACCAAGGGCATGGAGGACTGGGGTATGCACCATAAGACTGGCTCCAAAGGCCATGCTTGTAACAACTGCACATCACTGTCAAACACTTGCATTTTCTACTATATTGGGCTCCTTTTCCTCCCTCTTTTCATTGTATTTATTTCGTACTGGAGGTTGAGCACATGACTTTGCACTTGCCAGGCAGGCACTTACTGCCACTGAGCTATCCCTTTGATCCTTATTTTATTTCATTGTCTTTTTTGAGACAGGAACTCTACAATTCAGGCTAACCTTCAGCTCACTTTGTAGCCCAGGGTCGTCTTGAATCTGCAACGATCCTTCCTCCAAAGTTCTGGGATTACGGGCATGTGCCACCATGCCTGGCTCACTCTTTTCATTTTAGAATGGAAAAGAATACACATTGGGAAAAAAAAGTGGGTGGGAGCATACAGCTTACACATGATATTCAAAATCTGTCATTCTCAAACCCTAAAAATACTGAAATAAAGTTGTATTATACAATAGTTGACTGTTTATAAAATACTTTTGTACTTGATCTATTTAATCACAAAATAGTTATGTGAAATAGGGAAGATATTCTTAATAGAAAAGAAAGCTTAGAATGGTGACTTGTCTGAGATGAGACAACACAAGACGAAAAGCAGCCAGCCACACTCACACACCCCTATAATCCAAGCAATGCAGGAGGCTGAGACAGAGAATCATAGCTTTGAGGCTAGCCTAGGCAAGACCTTGTCTCAATAAAAAGTGCTTGAGATGGAGCTTAGTGACAGTATGCCCTCAATTCTGAAACCCAGTACCACGAAAAAGAAAAAAAAAAAAAAGATTAAAAGCAGATCTGAAATGAGGTCTTTGTGCTTCTTACAGAATGTTCTCTTCAACTGTATTATGGCAGCCGTAAGAAGTACAATTATCTCTTCTCCTGCCAGGATCCCGGCTTACCTAGACGAGCCCTTGTCCGTGGGCCCTGCATCTGACTCCGAAGTTCAGGCCTCAGATGAAACTTCTTTGCTTCATCAACTAGATCCCTGCACTGTAAACTACAGCGGATGAAGGGCTGAAAGAAGCAGAGTACAGTGACCCAAATGGGTCATGTTGTAAAACTGTAAGAGTACAGTGACACACAGAATTAACATAGAAAGTTAGGCTCTAAGGACCTGTGATTCCAGGAGGACAAATGGTAATAACTCAGCTGTGGGTTTCTAGAAGTGATTTTTTTAAAAAAATATTTTATTTATTTGGTATAGGGTCTCCACACAGTTCAGACATGAAGTAATCCTCCTGTCTCAGCCTCTCCAGCACTGGGATTACAAGCATGCACGCCCAGTTTCGGGGCCAGTGGGGCACCCGGTACTAGGGATTGAACCCAGGTTCTTGTGCTTGCCTGCACTGTAAACTACAGCGGATGAAGGGCTGAAAGAAGCAGAGTACAGTGACCCAAATGGGTCATGTTGTAAAACTGTAAGAGTACAGTGACACACAGAATTAATTTAACATAGAAAGTTAGGCTCTAAGGACCTGTGATTCCAGGAGGACAAATGGTAATAACTCAGCTGTTACTAGACTTAGACTGCTGAGCTATCTCCCCAGCCCTCTAGAAGTAATTTTTAATTTTGTTTTTAATGGAGGTACTAGGGATTGAACTCAGGGTCTTTACATGAGGCTACATTCTCAGCCTCCTCTTTTGCTGGATACAGTCTAAGTTGCCAATTTCCCTAAGCTGGGTTCAAACTTGCAACCTTCCTGCTTCAGACTCCCAGAGGGCTAGGATTAAATGTATCTGCCACCATACTCAACTTTATTATTTTTTCCTTTTTTTAGACGGGGGTTATGTTAGTTATATTGAGACAAGATCTTGCTGTGTAGTTCAGGCTGACCTTGAACTCACTATGTAGCCTGACTAGTCTCAAACTCGTAATTCTCCTGCCTCAGCCTCCTGCGTCCTGGAATTATGGGTGTATGCCACCGTGCCTGTTTTTTTTTTTTTTTTTTTTTTAAAAAGATAGTATGTTATCAAATAATATAGAAGGCTGGGGGTACAGCAAAGTGATAGATTGTAAGCTTATTAACATATTCAAGATCTTGAGTTCAATCTCAAATATAAAAATATATATTTCCCATCTACCTTTGCCCTCATAACTACTTTTATTAATCTCTACATTGTGAGGTTATGAAGATACAAGTATATAATAACTAGTACAGTAAGTCCCCAACTTATGAATAAATTCTGTTCCAGGAGAACATTTATTAGTCAGATTCATTCCTTAGTCTCACAAAGTCTTACACCTTTTACACAAATATACAATCTGAATTGCTTTGGGCTTCCTAGCAACCCCCTCCAACATCATCACTGCTTTTCCTCTTGCTTCCAGACATCCTGTCTTTAACTGACCACTGTGCTACTATGCACTATCATAGATAATGGCTGGGAGAGACACGAACCACTTCTGTGATTTGTATGCATCTCCAGATATTTATAACATGAGGCCCCTTCACATCTGTGAAAGTCTGCCACTTGAATGTTCATATGTAGGGGCCTTACCATACTTCCTTTGTTGTTTTGAGACAGGGTCTCATTATGTAGCCCAGGCTGGCCACAAACTCTTGGTGAGCCTCAACTCGCATCCCTAGCATGTCACCAAGCCTGGCACAATTAGTAAATATTTTAAGAGAAACTTCTAAGGCCTCTATCATTTTTGGGTTACAGGAGGAATATGTCTTCTCTGGACTAATTCTCCAAGGTTCACAGCACTGTTGAGCACTATACTGGTGTCTGCTTCCCTGGGTTCTCCATATTCCCCCCTCACCTTGCTCTCTGGCTCTGAAGACTGGCCCAAGGAATCATATCAACAGCTCCCATGCCCTCTGCCTTTTGCTTGGGATTGGGCTGACCAAATGTCAAGGATCCTCTTAAGGCAGTAACTCTAGAACTCTTTCCTTTCAGGTTTTGGTACCTCCTAGTCCTTGATGGGGCCTTTTAGGCTAAAAAGTCATTAACAGCTTGGCTACATTAGATCCATGTAATTTCACAGTCTTGGTATTCTTTATACCCCACCTTTGTAAACAGCTTCTTTATCTACAAGTGTTCCTTAAATTGTACTGTTTTGAGCATGCCATCTTTTCTATTAACCTGACTGAAGAAATTTTCACTATATAACTTAAAAAGGAAAACAAATAGTGCATATTGAAATATAAGACATGTTTCTAAAAATGTTTGCATATTACCTTACATAGTACTGACCACTTATGAGGTAGGGACTATTATCATTTTATTTTACAGACAAGAAAGCTGAGACACAAATACATTTAATATTTTGCCTAAGGATCACATAGTGAGTGGTAGACTTGGGATTTCAGTCTCTTAATTTTGGCTCCAGAATCTGTACCTAACTATGATGAAAACAATTAGACTCAAGGAGCATGTGGATAAGTTGTAAAAAAAAAAAAAAAAAAAAAAAAATTAAACACAGGTAAAAATTAGTTTGAGGTGTGACACTAAGCAACTAGCCCATGACTTTTCTAAGGTCAACAACTGGAAAACTGTTTTTGTATTTAAATCCCTCAAAGATCCGCGGCTGGGCCAGCAAAAGAAACTTAATCACTGACCTGGCCCTTACATACACATTAGAAATCTATTCCTCCAAAGTGTGGTCAAGGTAACACAGGTGCAAATATGGTAAAAATTATTTTAAAAAGCCTTACATTAGACAAACACTGTTATCAATCAATAAGCTTAACACTGACCAAAGTGATCCTAAAATGAACTGAACTACAGTTCTTTTATGCTGGCTTCAGTAAAGGTAAAACAAAGAGGTCTGCTAAGAAATATCTAAGAAGTACCTCTGTCCTTTTTTTTTTTAAAGACAATTTGTAACTATTTATTTGTTTGTTTGTATTTTAGGAAGGGTCTTCACGGTCTCACCACTAGATTGGACTCGTAGTGATTCGCCTGTTTACAGCCTCCCAAAAGCTGGGATTACAGGCACACACCACCATGCCCAGTCTCAATTGGTATCTCAGTGAGCCCTGGGGGCGGGGCCGGCATGGCAAGCCCAGGGATAGAACCCCTGGCCCCTTTGCCTGCTTGCAGGCACCTTAATCTGCTGAACTATTTGGCCGGCCCCAACAATTTATATTTAAATAAAATAAAGTTTATCATCTAATGTTGCTTAACTAAAACACTTATGGCATGTTACACACACACACACACACACACACACACACACACACACACATCCCAGACCACAATATTAAGTAAAGCCACCAATTTCATTTGCAGGAGTCCTACATGTCAAGTTACTGACTTCCTTTTTTTTTTTGGTACTAGGGATCAAACTCAGGACCTTATGCTTGCCAGGCAGGTGCTTAAATTGCTGAGCTCTCTCCCCAGCACTGACTTTTTTAGAAATATGTATAGGAAATACCCAGCGCTACCTTACTAACATTCCCAGATAGGCAAACCAGGAGACTTTGTGCCTACATGAAAAAAACTAACTTTTTTTCTTAAAGACAAGGCCTTGCTGGGTGGGTGGCACATGCCTATAAACCCAACACTTGAGAGGCTGAGGCATGAGGATCCTTGTGAGTTCAAGACTAGCCAGGGCTACAAAGTGAGCTCAAGGCCAGCCTGAACTGCACAGAGACTCTGTCTGAGAAAGTGGAGAGGGGAAGGGAAGGGAAGGGAAGGGAGGGGAGGGGAGAGGCCAGGAGCCTTGCTAGGTAGTTTATTTTTTATTTTTTTGCAGAACTGGGTATTAAACTCAGGCCCTTGCGCTTGCCAGGGAAGTGCTTATTCTACTGAGCCATCTCCCCGCCCCCCCCCCTGTTGTTTGTTTGTTTCTTTGTTTGTTTGGGGTTTTTTGCAGAACTGGGTATTAAACTCAGGCCCTTGCGCTTGCCAGGGAAGTGCTTATTCTACTGAGCCATCTCCCCGGCCCCTTGCTAGGTAGTTTAGACTGGCCTCAACGCAGTGATCCTCTTGCCCCAGTCTCCTAAGGGCTGAGATCACAGCTATGCACCACCATGCCCAATGGAAAAATGTATCAACTGTGAATACACGTACTCAGCTGCAAAAGCTAGTCAAGGTTTTAGATTCTGAGTGTCCTGCGCAACTTACCTCAGCATCTATCACATCTGTAATGTACCTGGGGGTCAGCAGGGGCATCCGCACATACTGTAGCAAGTCAGGCAAGGACTCTTCACGTTCCTTCTTGGCATGCTTTACCCAGTTGATGACAGCCTCAAAGACTGGCTCTTCAGAATCCACCTATGAATGCATAACCATGCAGTATGGATTTCCACTTTGCCAAATGGCTCACAAGCTCAATAAATAACCAAGTTTACTTTCTCCTTTCTGCTCCCTGTTGCCCACCACCATCACTCTCACCTTCCTGAAATAGCCTTTTTTTTTTTCAGAAACAAGAAAAGAATTATCAGCTTATGTGAAAACAAACAGAAAGTAAGTACCTAATAAGCAAGCCACTGGAGTCACATATTAGCCTTTGCTTCAGAAAATTTTCCATCCCTCAATTTCTGGCATCAATGGAAGGACACTTGCCTAGAGTGCACAAGACCCTGGGTTTAAACTGCAACAGGAAGAGCAATGTGCAGAGAACCTCTGAACCCACCAAGGCTGCATGCCACCACATCTCACATCCAGAGCCTGCATCCTGCTGCCATTGTCCCCAGGCCCAAGAGACAGGCTGATCGAGACACTAAAGGAGATAAACCAAGGTGAGGGATGAGCCACAGAGATCCAAAAGGATGTCTGCCTAATCAGCTCCTCCAAAGCAAGAGCACAAGCTAGACTCCTGCAAAGAGACTGAAGGTGCCTAGAAGACAAAAGGAAAATGCTGATGCTGCCAAGGACAGGATGACCCTGCAGAAAATGGAGTGGCTCAGCCAGGCTAGGCAGAAAGCAGAAGTGCAGCAGATGACACATGAAGCATATGCATTTTTTTTTAATGTACGCATTTTTGATTAAGTGTATACTTCTGGTGACTATACAATTTGAATTTTTTTTTTATTTTTTTGTATTTAGTACAGGGTCTACAAGGTCTCACTACATACACCACACTCATAGTGATCTCCCTGTTTTCAGCCTCCCAAGCATTGAGTGCCACCACACCCAGTCTCAATTGCCATGCTCTGGGGACAGGGCTGGCACAGCATGCTGGAGATTAAACCCCAGCCACTGCGCTCTGCCTAAAACTATCTGGCTAGCCCTGAAATATTTTTTTTTAATCAAGTTTTATTAAAATGCAGAATTTTGTTTTGTTTTAAACCACGCTCTTAGCGTATAGAACATTTCTTGTTGTTTTTCAGAGAAGGAGCATATGTCCCTAGTACAATGTATCCAACGCTGGATTGATGTGGGGGGAACACACTTTTCCCTGTCAGTTTTGAGAGATTCCTCTAGAGTCCCAGGAGGAGGGATTTCCTTGATGGTGACACATATGGCCACTTTGGCAGGAATGCCTTGTGGTAAGGAAACACTCCCAGTTCATTTTATGTCCTCCTTTCCTTCTATGCCATGGCACAAACTTAAGTCCAGAAAGCTACTGGGACCTGACTCTCAAACACTGATGTTACCACTGTGTCGGGTTATCTGGACTTGCTGGTGAGGTTGACATGGTATCCCACAAGAGCAGTGATTCCTTCTCTGCACTGTGGATCTTCATATTGATAATCCTGCCATTTTCACTTTGTTTTCTTTTTTTTTTCCCGTAATTTTGAGAAACAAATAGCAATGAGACAGTTTCAAACCAAACTGGTAGGACAGTTTCAATAATTAACACATTGCATACATTTTTCCTAGAGGTTATTCACTTTGTTTTCTTACACTCAGGGTCAGTTTGGGAAAAGTTAAGTAACATGCTAAATGTGAAATGTCAACCCTGACTTTAAACTTCCTCTACTCAGAGCATCAAATGAAGCCTTCATTGGATTTAAGAGAGGCTGATTTTTTTTTCTTTCATTTATGTTTTTGGTACAGGGTCTCACTAGGCAGTTCAGACTTTTAGTGATCCTCTGTTTTCAGCCTCCCCAGCACTGGGATTATAGGCATACATTGCCTCGACTCAGTTGCTGGCTCGGCACGCCCTGGGGCAGGACCAGTGTGGCATTTGGGATGGGGGATGGAACCCTGATCCCTGTGCTTGTGGAAATCAGACACTTAGTCTACTGAGCTATCTCACTGGCCCTAGGCTTTCTGATTTTTGCTGGTCCATCCAAGAAGAGAGTGTGAAAGTTGTTGTAGGGGCTGGTGAGATGGCTCAGTGGTCTAAAGCACCTACTCTTAGAAGAAGCTTGGCAAAAGCACAGGGACTGCGGTTCAATCCCCCAGCACCACATGCCAGCCAGCCCGCCCCCTGGTGGGCTGAGCTGGCCACACACACACACACACACACACACACATAAATTTAAATAAATAAATAAATAAATAAATGTATAATTTCTAAAAATAAAGAAAGCTGTTGTATACTATTAACAAATGTGTTTCTATATCCTGCCTGAAATACCATGACTGTACATGAAAAGTATCTTTAATAAAGCTGATAGTTTGGCTTAGGGGGAAAAATCAGCATGAGGAGAGAAGAGAAAGTTAATTACACTGCAATGAAAAAAATCATAAAAATTGTCTTTTTTGTCTTTTTGAGACAGGGTCCTACTACACAATTCAGGCTGGTCTTGAGCTCACTTTATAGCCCAAGTTGACCTCACAATGATCCTCCTGCCTCAGCCTGCTGAGTGCTGGAATTACAGGTGTGTGCCACCTTGTCCAGCCAGATAAATTCTTGTTAGGTGTGGAGACAACTGTTAATTGGGAAACTGAACAATCTCACTATTACTACATACTATATAGGAAGGATTGTGGAAATATGAGACAGAACATGAGATTTCCTGATTTAGACCGATGAGTCAGGGAAGGCCTCCCAGAAGGAGCAAAAAAACCCTGACTGCTGATCAACTAGCAGAGAACTATGGTGAATGAGTATTTGAAGGAGACAGCCTATCTGGAAACACTAGAGTAGCTGCAGAGTCCCATAAGGCAGCTACACCCATATGTGACTATATTTAAATTAACTAAAACTAACTAAACCATTTAGCTTCTCAGTCACAATAACCACATTTCAGCTGGGTGTGCTAGCATACTCCTGAAATCCCAGTACTTCAGAGGCTGAGGCAGGAGGACTGCTCTAAGTTTGAGGCCAGGTGGACTACACTGTGAGGCCATTTCAAACTCACCCCAAAGTCACATTTCAAGTGCCCAATTGTAACATGGCTAGTGGCTACCAAGCTGGACAATACAGATCCTATTTCCATCTTCATTGAATTTTCCACTAGACAGCATTATCCTAAAGCTGGAGAGGTAAGAAGGGCATTAGGGCCAGTGAGATAGCTCAGCAGGCTAAGTGCCTACCTAGGCAAGTGCAAGGACCAGAGTTTAATCTCCGGCATCACATGCTGCATCAGCCCCATCCCTGCACATGCTGAACTGGCTATTGAAACCAGGCATGATCCCAGTGCTGGGGAGGTTGAGAAGGAGGATCAATGTCAGTCTGAGCTGTATAGCGAGACCCTGTACCCAATAAATAAATTTTAAAAATACAATAAATATTAGACATGATACCAGATGATTTTGTTTTGGGAGTTTTTTGAGACAGAGTCTCACTACATAGTCCAGCCTCCTGAGTTACTAAATATATTAATTCTAACAATAATTTGATGGTAGACATTATCTTTATGTACCAAATACATATTAAAAAGGGGGGCGTTAGACTTTTATCTCTCAAATGAACAGATATTGCACACGTTTTCATATAGCTATTTGTTGCTTGTATTCTTTCATATGAGAAGTATTCATCTCAAATGCCCATTTTTGGATTGGGTCTTTAAATTTAAAGAATTGTGTGTGTGTATGTGTGGCTAGTCCTGCCTGCCTTAAGGGCAGGTGTGGTGCAGCTTGTGGGGCTGGGGTTGAATCACAGTCCCCTACGCCTGACTGCATTTGCTCAAGCAGTGTTTTAAACAACTGAGCTATCAGGCAAGTCCCTGGGTCTTTAAATTTGGGAGGTCTGGCGTTGTTTTTTTTCCTCAGTTCTTTGTATGTTGATAATGACCTTTTGTCTAAGGAACAGCTAGCAAACATTTTTTGCCACACTGTGGGTTGTCTCTCACTTTAGCTATGCAAAATTTTTTCAGTAAGATGAGATCTCAGTTATTGATTCTTTGTGATAATTACTATGCAATCAGGCTTTTATTCCTAGTCTTTGCCTATACCAATGTCTTCAAAAGTTTTACCAATTCTATCTTCCAATAAATTTAATGTTTTTGTTTTACTATTTAGATCTTTGATCCATTTAGATTTTATTTTAGTACATGGTGAAATATATGGGTCTAATTATAATCTTCAGTGTGCGCAAGCCAGTTTTTCCAGCACTAATTATTAAAGAGGCTATCTTTCTTCCAGTGAATGTGTTGGGAACCTTTGTCAAGGATAAGACGATGCCTGGCACAGTACTGCATGCCTGTAATCTCAGCACTCAGAAGGCTGAGGCAGAAGGATTACTGCAAGTTGGAGATCAGCTTGGACTACAAAATGAGCTCAAGGCCAGCCTAAACTGTATAGCAATACTCTATCTCAAAAAGACAGAAAAACGAAAACAAAACAAAGACAAACATACAGCTGAGTATGTGTGGAGTTATTTCTACATCTTCTAACCTGTTCCACTGATCTTCAAGTCTTTTTTTTTTCTTTTCTTTTCTTTTTTTTTTTTTTTTTGCTAGTACCATGCTATTCTTAATCACAGTAGCTTTACAATATAATTTCAAAACAGATTGTGATGCCCCCTACCTTGCCTTTTGCCCAGAACTGCCTTTTCTATTCTAGGTCTCTTCTGGTTCAAAATGAATTTTAGTATTGCTTTCTCTAATTTTGTGAGATATGCTATTGGAATTTTGATGGGAATTGCATTAAATCTGTACTAGTTTTGGAGTTATGGCCGTTTTCATGGGACATGTTTCCATTTTCTGATATCTCCTTCAATCTCCTTTTACATCAAGAAGGATAATTAGAAAACTGGATTTTACACGAAAAGTAATAGGAAATCATTAAAAGATTTCAAGCAGATTACTAATTTGACTTGTTTTGGTTACTTTCTCATTATCAAGACACAACACCTGACACCTACAACTCCAAAGAGGAAACGTTTATTTTGGCACAGATTGTAGAAGTTTCAGTCCACAGTCGGCTGGCTCCAAGGCAAGATGGCATGGTTGAGGAGAAAGAGTTTATAGCATGCCAGCTGGAAGCAGGTATCTCTCAAGGGAGGCAGGAGAGGGAAATAGGCCAAGCTCTAGGGACCTCCAGGCCTCACTTCCTAATATCACATTTAGTTATAAACTCATCAGAGTTCTAACTCAATGATTCATGGTCCAATCACTTCCCCAAAGCCTCACCTATGAGTGCATTAGGCTTTTTAAAAAATTTTTATTTATTTATGTGTGTGTGTGTGTGTGTGTGTGTGTGTGTGGCCAACTCAGCCCACCAGGTGGCGGGGCTGACTGGCGTGTGGTGCTGGGGGATCGAACCGCGGTCCCTGTGCTTTTGCTAAGCTTGTTCTAAGTAGGTGCTTTAGACCACTGAGCCATCTCTCCAGCCCTGCATTAGGCTTTATGGGGAACATCTAGATATAAACCATGACATGATCATATTAATGATCTGTGAAGAGTACCCTGGCTACCATGAGTAAAACATTTTAGAAGGGCTTGAGAGCTGAACGATCAGTTGGAGTCTACTCTGGTATAGCCAGAAAAACGTGATGGTATTGAAACTAGTTTTTGTTGTGTTTTTCTTTCCTTTTTTTAAAAAAAATTTTTTTCATTCATTTATGTATTTGGTACAGGGTCTCACTACATAGCTCAGACTCAGAGACCCTCCTGTCTTCAATCTCCCCAGTGCTGGGATTACAGACATGCGCCACCACACCTGGACTCATTCGCTGGCTCAGCGCATCCCAGTGACCAAGCAAGACCAGGATTGAACCCTAGTCCCTGCACTTGCCAAAGCAGGTACTTAGTCCGCTAAGCTATCTCACTGGCTCTGTAGTAGTGTTTGTGATAAAGAAATAGATGTACTAGAGAAATAGTTGTAAATGGGAGGTCAAATTAATCTAGGCTACTAATAAATGCAAGGTACAGTGCAGAGAAGTGTCCAAGATTTGAAACATTTTTGTTGGTGTTAATGATTAGCAAAATGTTTTAAGCACATATATATTGTACTCTGGTACATACTAGGTTTAAATTAGATATGTCAATTGAATGAACAGAACTTACTGACATTACTAAAGACAAATTGTAATTGAGGAAAGACAGCTAACCTGGGGTAGAGAGACTCCAACATTAATAATGTAACTATGGAGAAAAATATATTTTCTCCATAATTCATCTTCAAAAGATTTCTCATGTTCCTAGCATTGGCATTTTCATTTAATTCTCAGAACAGCTTTATATATTAAGTACTAATACTTGTCTGTATTCTACAGAAGAAACAGGTTAGCGGTTAGGTAACACATATCATGTGCCTAGACCATTCCTGAGTCTGACTAGCAAACCTGTATTGTTATAACCAATACGATATACCATTTCCCGCTGTTTTACGTTTTATTGTTAACTTAATAAAAGGAAGTGCTAGGGCTGGGGAGATGGCTCGGTAGAATAAGCGCTTCCCTGGCAAGCGCAAGGGCCTGAGTTCACTTCCCACTTCTACCCCTCCCCCCCAAAAAAAGGAAAGTGTTAGCCACTGGAAATCAGACATCTGGTTCCTATAAAAAGCAAAAGGTTGTCTTGACACATTCAGTACATTAAGAAAAGTACACAAATGCACTCTCAAGTTGTTTTTCATTTTAGCTTCTTAGTACAGTAGTTATTTGCTCTTTGTTCCTTTATTCGAAAAGTCTTATACAATTCCAAAATAATGACTTCAATGATTGCTTCCTGATGTGGACATTTAGAAGCAAGCTGACCACATAGCGAGTTTAGAGCTTGGTTAAGGAAACACAGTAGAGACAGATTGCCTTGATCTAATCCTGTCTACTTTTGCTGGCTGTAGTATCACAGTTAACCTTTGAGCTTTGGTTTCTTTCTCTGAAAATGTGAGAAATAAGAGCAGGGCCTTTTTTTCTTTCAGTACCAGGATTCAAAATCTGGACCTTGAGCTTGCCAGACAGGTATTTATGCCACTGAGCTATATCCCCAGGGTGAGAAACAAGACTAAAAATTAGAATGGACGCTCTAGGGTACATGGATTGGTGTCTGTCCTGTTAAGAGGTGGGTCCCAGCACACAGAGCTGTCTTGGACACAGTAAGTGCTCAATAAACAATATAAAACAAAAAGACCAAAAGAGTAAATGCTGGCTATTTTATTACTATATGCAGGAATTTTAGGTCTGTACTAATCATTATATTCAATGTATTTTCTACTACATGAATAAGAAAAACCAGGATATTTTAATGGAGTGCCAGTTCCCAAATCTAAAGAACATAGATTTCACTGTTATGCCAGCATGTCTTACATCCTGAGGGCATCAACTAAGCTTTATCAAATTCTTTATTCAGCAGCCAATTATTATAGCAGCCTCTCTGAACTGACATGGAACACCACGTCAAGTGAGGAAATAAATCTTCTCTAACTGAAAAATTATGCTAATGTAACCTAATGAGCTTTGCTTTCTGAAGAAAATTCTTCTAAAATGTGGTAATAAATACATATGAAACATTATAGTACATAAAAATCCAAGTTCTGACAAAATAAATCGGGGCCAGCAAGAGAGCTCAACGGACTAAGTGCCTGCTTTGGCAAGTGCAGGTTCAATCCCTGGACCCACATGCCATGCTAGTCCCACCCCCAGGGGTGTTCTGAGCCGGTGACCAAGTCCAGGCATGGTGGTGCACGCCTGTAATCCCAGCACTAGGGAGGCTAATAACAGGAGGATCACTATGCGTCTATGCTGCGTAGTGAGACCCTGTACCAAATACATTAAAAAAAAAAATCAGGGAACGATCAGTTGGCTTAGAAAAGTACATTACACAATTTCTGCAAGCTGCAAATTATTCCTATTGCACTTAGACTCTTAGTCCAATTTTGATTCTTTCCAATAAACCTCTTGTTTAAATTGAGATACCTGCAGAGGTACCACCAGCTTCTGAGGATATACTTAAAATCTTTTTTTTTTTTTTTTTTTTGTGGAACCAGGGATTGAACTCAGGCTATTCTACTGCGCTATCTCCCCAGCCTGATACACTTAAAATCTATTTTCTCCTTATTACCAGAAGACAGTAAAGAGGAAAAAACAAAAATGAATTTTTAGCTTGCCTTCAGAATCAAGTTTCTCCTAAAGGGGGAATCAAACCTAACAGGTAGGACTGTTATCCCACCACTTGGTTCTAAACAATGCCCACTAAATTAAGGATTTAGATCATAAGAAATTAATGCTACTGGACTCCAAAGATATTTGCCCTCTATTTGATTTTTTCAATCCTAATTCTCATTTTAATTATAGATGTACATGTGAAACTCTGATTTAGGACTGAAAAACTACACATGCATGCATGCACACATGCATACATGCACACACCAAAGAAGAAAACAGAATTAGGGCTAAGATTCTGCTGTTTGGTCACTGAACACTTGCGCACTGCACTAATTTTCCCTATGTTAGGTGAAGCTCTAGTCTGTAATACAGAGTTTACAAATGCTTCTTTCACCCCCAAAAGGAAGTGATAATCTGGTTCATGTTTATGTAGATTTTATTAGCAAGACTGTCTCTTCATTTCTCATTCACCTCTGGGCAAATTTTTTTTTTTCTTTTATGTAATTAACTTCCTTACCTTGTATAGGCCCATTATTCTCTAGTACAGATAGACAGATAGACACTCCTGAAAGTAAGAATTATATCTTACTGGGTTTTGGATCCACAGCACCCGGCACAGTGATTGCTACACCGTATATATCTTCAATAAATTTTCTGAAATGAGTGAATGTGCAATACATTATTTTGGAAGAATTTACTTCCAATTTCTGCTTATTCTACACTTTGATTCCCAAACACTGGGATCATATGTTTAATGGAAGAAAGTGGCCAACTCCTTCTCTGTAAATACATGAATACACCAAAAGCTTTCAAGTTAATATGGACAACTCATCATAAAGCCTGAATACAGAAATAGTAACTCCATCTTACTCTGCAAGTTTTAATGGCCCAGTTTTAAAGAAGACAGAACATCAAGCCTAAACTGTACCTGAATTTCATCACACTTGATTAGCTTCTCCACCTCTCCTTGACTTAGAAGAATGAATTCTTCATGCTGTACCACTTCAGGAAAATGCTTCTGGCTAAAAACCTCAGCCGCTTGCATCAAGTCAACACAGTTGTGAGTTTCAGCAAAATCCCTGATACCCAGGCAATTAGAAGGGTCCAGCTGACTTTCTAAGAACTCACAGCAGGCTTGCTTCACCCCTAGGACAAACACAGGTGGTGAATTTAGTGCAGGATATTTGGCCAGGGGTAAATCTGTTGGATTCATCTTCTCTATGTGCCAACACCTAAGACACGACGTTAGATTTTTGTTTGTTTTGGGCACCACTGGAGATTCAACCCAGGGCTTTTGCACTGAGCTACATCTCCAGATTTCTGAAATATTTTTATTTTGAGGAAGGGTCTCCTGAGGCACTAAATAATTGACCAGGCTGCACTTAAAACCTACAGCTTCTATCTTCCTTCCTAGCACACTGACACTACAGGAGTGAGCCACCACATCTGGGTATTAAATTAGAAATTTTTTTAAATGTGCTTTATTTATTTGCGGTACTGGGGATTGAAATCAGGGCCTTGCGCTTGCCAGGCAGGTGCTTATTCTACTGAGCTATCTCCCCGGCCCCCTAAATGTGCTTTCTAATTTTTTTTTTTTGTTCCTTTTTGAGACAAGGTTCTTCTATGCAGTTCAGGCTTGAACCCGTGAACTCTCTTTGTACCACTGGCTAGCCTTGAAATCAAATCTCAGCCTCCAGAGTGCTGGGATTACATGTGCCACCATGCCTAGCACTAAATAAGGAATCTGAATATTATTTCTATCTTATGTGCTGTATCACTTTCAATAAAACTCTTATCTGTCCCTGCTTCTCCTTTAAAATGAGCATGGCAAGATGAACTGCTTCCAAGGACACTGGAACAATTAATCAAAAACTAAAACTCTTGGGAACCAAATTATAAAACCAGGGGCTGGTGAGATGGCTCAGAGGTCTAATGCACCTACTTAGAACAAGCTTAGCAAAGCACAAGGGACCGCGGTTCAATCCCCCAGCACCACATGCCAGCAGGTCCGCCCCCAGGTGGGCTGAGCTGGACACACACACACACACACACACACACACACAAATTAATTAATTAATTAATTAAAAAAATTATAAAACCAATTACTAATTCAGCACAATGTACCTGTTTTTCTCCTCTACATCAAAACCTACTGAAAGAGTTCACTAAGAGTCCAATAGCATTAAATTCGAGGATCCAAATCTTTAATTTAGTGGGCAGAAGAAAAAACCAGATACTATAAACAGTCTCATCTACCTAACTGAAAAGTACAGAAGAAAGGGTGGGGATAGAGTTTAGGGTACAACATTCATCCAAGTTCAACCTCTGGCACTTCACACATAAAAAAAAACTCAGGGTATAAATTTATTTCAATGTTGTGTTAAAAGTAGAAAATGTTTTCATTATGTACACATAAAACAATAAAAACCGAAGGCTAAAAAAGACTGAAAGTTGGGCATAGTGGCATACTCCTATAATTCCAGCTATTTGGGAGGCTGAACCTCCTTACACATGGAGCTATCTACTGGCCAGAAAGATAAACAGCATCCCAGTAGGAAGAAACACTTGTTACTTTCTTTTACAGAAATACTGTAAGAAAGAAAAATACATATCCCATCCACTCTTCCACCTTTTTAAAAATAGAAAGGATGTAAATTGTCTTTTAAAGAGCTAAGTACTCATATTTTGACTGTTCTCTTATATTGATAATGACATCTCAGCACCATTCCTTAGTTGCTCAAAGATTCCACAGCTACAGACCATAAATGTAAGTATCCACTGTCTAGTTTAAGTTTCATGATGGAGCTGATACCAATTTTAAAAATTCTAGGAACAATGAAAACTGTTAATGAGCATACCTTTCAGCTGAAGCAGACAGGCTGCAGGGAGCAGTTCTTGTACATTCTCCACCGTCACATGTACTGTTTCTGTGTATACAAAGTCCAACAGGATTTCCATGGTAGAGGCAGTTAAACCTTGGATATCAACATAAGGTTTCCCCTTCTCTGAAAGCTAAAAATTCACAGGGTATGAAAGAATAATAGTTATAATTCCACAAAAATAAAGATAATTCCAAATCCAAAGGCATAAGGATATGAGTCTAACAAGCTCCCCCAGATGCATGGAGGCTGTGTCCTGCCTCCTGTCTCTCCCACCCTTGACATCAAGGACTGAGTCTTGCCTCCCCACCATGACCATGCCCAGGAAGTTGAAGGAGAGTAGCCTTTCAGAGACTGTCTTCCCTTCCTAGAGATCCATGCTAGCCTTCTCTCCTAGCTAGCTATGTCCAGAGACATCCAGAGGAACAACTTTCTTCTAACCCTTGCCCTCCTTCCTTCTGAACAAGAAGGCTGCCAGGATGACCAGTGTTCCTGCAGTCCCCAGCCCACTGCCCTGCCCAGGTCAGGGTGGGGAAAGCTGATTCTCAGGCCAAACCCTGTAGGTTAAGATATTTCCTCCTCCTATTAAGTGGAGTGGCTGGAAAGGGAAGAAGACATTTTATAAAAGGATATCACTTTTAATTGTTTTTATTCAAATTAAAAAAGAATGCACCCCCCAAAAAAAAATTATAGCCTAAAAAGGACAGAGAGGTGCACTCCTATAATCCCAGCACCCTGAGAGGCTATGGCAGAAGAATCTCAAGTTTGAGCCCATCCTATGTAACACAACGACTTACTGAGCCCTTGTTTCAAGATATAAAAGGACTAGGGGCATGCTCACTGTGAAGACCTTAGGTTTAATCCTCCCTAGTATGCTCCCCCCACAATATGGCACATATCTGTAGCTTTTAAAATACAGTGGGCAGTTATTTGTATTCCCAGGAGTACACAAAAGTAGAATATCAAATTTGGCAGTGAATAATTTAAAAACTCAATTCTACATACTATTAGTGCCCTGAGCTTTCAAGATAAAAAAACTTCACTCTTATAAAAGACTTCATGGGTTATAGTGCCACATCCTCCAAGAATACCAGTTTCCTGCCACCTGCCATTAGGCTACACTGGGTGACAATGTAAAGGTACAGGCAAATCACTGTAAAAACCAATCTTCTTTGACACTAAATACAACTGAGCCGTACTTTTCAAAACACTAGGTCACTAGTGATGTAGCTTATGATAGAACTTTGTTTAGAATGTACAAAGCCCTGGGTTTGATCCCTAGTGTATAGGTACACAAACATACAAAAGTCAATTTATGAAATACTAGGTTAACTCTACTTGGGATTACAGAATAATTGATAGTTCATTTAGCTTAGAGTATTTCCTTTAAATAATGAGCACTAATGAGGCCACATAATCACAGAAAATGGTTTAGGTAAGACTGGAAATCTTTAAGTATGGAGGTGCATGACTATAATCCTAGGATTTAGCAGCTGAGACAGGAGGATTTCTGAGTTTGAGGCTAGCCTGGGTTACATAATGAATTCAAGGCTGGGATAAACTACCCAGTAAGAGCCTGTCTTAAAAACAAAAACATTTTCAACATTACAGAGCAGTGAACTGTCTGAAAGCTAATTACCTTACAAAAAGCTTACTAAATTTTAAAAATTTATATTACTCAAAAAGCTCTAACACACTTCCATGATGAACTAAATGGCTTCGATTTCTCTCAGCACAGGGGGTAAACAAAAAGGATTCTTTACTAAAGCCAAGTCCAAATCAATTCCTAATGTTAAAATGTTAATGTTTCCTAATGTTTCATCTAATTCTCAGTAAAGTTGTTAAGTCTGATATTTCTTCCACTTAAGAGACAAAGGATCTAAAGAACAAGGCATTTTGACTTGATTTGGGTCAATTTACTAGTAAGAGCAAGGTAAAATCCAGGACCCTGGCCAAAGTTCTGTGATTTCTTAGTTGGGCACTTAGGGAGCATCTGAGGGGCTAGAGAACAAGGCATCATCTAGTTCAACCATGTCATTTTACAGACCCTCCCAGTGAAATGAGATGACTGCCAGAGTTCACACAGAATTACTAAAAGAACTAAACTGAGAACTCAGGTCTGGACTCTTTCCTATTGAACAATTACTCATTAAAAATAAAGACAAAACCACATGACATTTTCTTTTCTAGGAGCAGTTTTTTTGTTTTTTTCTTTTGGCAGAAGTGGGGATTGAACTCAGGCCCTTGCGCTTGCCAGGCAAGTGCTTATTCTGAACCATCTCCCCAGCCCCTCTAGGAGCAGTTTTTAAAGAAATAGCCAGGTGTGGTAGCGCACACATAATCCCAGCACTTGGGAGGCTGAGGCAGGAGGATCACCATAAGTTCAAGGTCGACCTGAACTACACAGTCAGACCCAGTTTAATAATAATAATAATAATAATAATAACACCGATTAGAAAAATAATGCTTTTGTAAAATTCCATACTAATTTCTAAATGTGGAAAAGAAAAAGTATAAATTTTCTTCAAGCTGACAAAAAACAGGATGCACAATATTCATTTCCTGCTTAGCAGCTGCTGGGTAACAGTCTCCTTACCCAGCTAAATGCCAACTGTTTCTGATGCCTTTGGGCAGGTATCAGGAAGAACTGTCTAGGACAGAGCTCTTTAATGCTGTATTAAGACAAAATCACTTTCAAGTAAGTTTGGGTTAGCTGAAAGGACCTGTCAGGTTTCTGTTTTTCCAACAAGTCTATGTGACTGAGCATTGGTTAAAACCATCATGAACTATATAGCTTTAAAGCTAGGTTGTGCAACATAAAAACCTATCGCAGGGGTTGAGACACAGAAGTCCACAACTGGGACTCAGAACATAAAGTATTAAATCCTACCTCTACCATCTACATGTCACTCAGAACATAAAGTATTAAATCCTACCTTTACTATCTACATGTCATATGACTTGGGGCAAGTCATTTACTGTACCTTGCTCCTTCACCTGTACAAGGAGATGATAATACCTACTACTCTTAGGGTGGATGGGATAACGAACATGTAGCACAGCAGCCTGCCATCAAAGTATTTATTATCATTATCATGATACTACCACTCCCACTCAAGATCCAGCAGCCACATCTTTACTACTAAGGTGATGGGACTAACGAAAATACTGATGTTGGGTGAGAAAAACTTTTCTTCTTGAGAGAGGATCTTTCTACATAGCTCAGGCTGGCCTCAAACTTGTGGTGATTCTCTTGCTTCAGCTTTCCAAGTGTTGGGTTTTCAGCCATGTGCCGTCACATCCAGCTTAGAAACACTTTTTAAGAAGTCTTATAGTCAGGTGTGGTGTTACACATGTATAATCCCAGCACTCTGGGAAGCTGAAGCAGAAGGATCAGAGGTAGAGCCCAGTCTGAGCAATTTAGCCTCTTAGTGAGACCTCTCTCACAATAAAAAAGGTAAATAGAGACTAGGGAGTTGGACATGGTGTTGCACACCTGTAATCTAGGCACTTAGACCCACCTGAACCACAAAGTGAGACCCTGTCTCACAAACCAACCAAAAAAACGAGGTGGGGTATAGCTCAGTGTGAAGGCATTGGTTCAATCTCCAGTAAGCACCCCCCTCCAAGTGTTATCATAATGAAATATTTCAGGCATATGTCTAAGCATGTAATAGTCACACACCTATAATTCCAATACTCAGGAAATTGAGATAGGAGAATCATGAGTTCAAGGTCAGCCCTATTTCATACCAAGTCCCTGTTTCAAAAAAACCCAAGGGGGTAGGGAGATGGCTCAGGGGAGTAAGTGCTTCCCTGGCAAGCACAAGGGCCTGAGTTCAATCCCCGGTTCTGTCAAAAAAACCCAAAACTAAAAAATAAGGGCTGCAAATATAGTTCAGCAACAGAGCATTAACCTGGGATGTACAAAGCTCTGGGTTTCATCCCCAGCACCTCATAAAACCAAAACAAACTCCACAGTGCTCTTTTCTGTTCAGCTTTCTTGGAGTACCTCATAATATATTCAACTGCCTTACTTTATATCTCAGATGTTTTTTCAGGTAATTACTAAGCAGCCCAGGACGCACTTGAACTATTTCCTGTCTCAGTCTCCCAGATGGCTAGAATTACAGGTATGTGCCACCACACTTGGCTAGTATTTATTTCTCTGCCTCTCTCCTTCCCTCTTTCTCCTTCTCCTCTTCCTCTTCTTCCTTTTTCTTTGTGGTGCTGGTTACGGAACTTTGCCCTTGCACAGCTAGGCAAGTGCTCTACTGCTGAGTTACTTCATTAGCCTGTTAGTCTTTTCTTTTCTTTTTTGGCAGAACGGGGATTGAACTCAGGCCCTTGCGATTGCCAGGGATATGCTTATTCCACTGAGCCATCTCCCTGGCCCCGTTAGTCTTGAGTATCACTTTTTTTTTTTTTTCAGTACCAGGGATTGAACTCAGGGCCTTGCGCTTGCCAGGCAGGTGCTTATTCTACTGAGCTATCTCCTGGCCTGCCTTTTTCTTTTTAAGCCAAGCTTTTTCTAATTTTCCCTGTTCATTGCTTATACTCCTGTTAGTGTGCTGCTTCCAAGTTATACCCTTTATAGCAGGTACAGTGGCACACAACTGTACTCCCAGCACTTGGGAGGCTAAGGCTGGAAGACTACCATAAGTTCAAGGCTAGCTTGGGCTACATAGTTCAAGGCCAGCATGAACTGCAAAGAAAGACCCTGTCTCCAAAGAAAAAATAGAAGTTATACCCTTTATATCTCCATAGCCATTCATTAAACCTCCCTCTTCCTCTCATTTGAAAACTATCCTGAGATTAACACTGAGAATGAAATCTGATTTTCTTCCCATGTGTCTATGTGGGAGATGGGGTTGATCTATCTTTTTCTTTTCCTTTATCTTTTTGAGACAGGGTCTCACTATGTAGTTCAGGCAGGTCCTAAACTCACAAAGTTCCTCCTGCCTCTGCCTCCTGAGGGTTGGGATAACAGGTGTGCACCACCATGCCTGGCTTAGGTGGGGTTGACTTCCTTCTTACTTTTTTATTGTGATATATGGTCTTGTTACACAGTTCAGACTTGTACTGATCCTCTTGTGTCAGCCTCCCCAGCGCTGGGATTATAGGAGTGAGCCATCACTCCTGGTTTTAGGGCCAGCATGGAATGTGGTATTGGGATTGGAACTCAGGTCCTTGTGCTTGCCAGGCAGGTGCTTGACTGCCAAGCTATCTCCCCAGTCCCCAGTGGGGTTGATTTTTTAAACAGGGTCATCATATAGTCCAGGCTGAGTCCTCCTGCTCAGTCTCCTAACTGCTGAAACTATAAGCAGCATCTTCATGTCTTGTTAGAACAATTTGGATTAGGTGTGTTTTTCACACCTCTTCTTTCTTTCCTTCTTTCCTCTCTATCCCCATTGTTTACTTTAGGAGAAAATTGATGGGGCCGGGGAGATGGCTCAGTGGAATAAGTGCTTCCCTGGCAAGCCAAAAAAAAAAAAGAAGAAGAAAATTGAAAGACAAATTTGAAAATAATAAATAAAATCCAGCTGGATGTAGTGGCACACTCCTGTAATCCCAGCACTCAAGAAACCAAGACAGGAGTATGGACAGTTTAAGATCAGCCTGATTTATACGGGGGCCTCCAGGCCAGACTGGACCTCATTACATGTGTGTGGTGACAACTCCCCACTTACCTCACTAGTGAACATGGCACAGAAATAGTCACTGCAGGCAGCCAGCACAATCCGATGTGCAGGGAAGTCTTTCTGCTCTACTCTCAGCGTCACATCACAGAGAGTATTGCTCTTTCTGAGGGAGTTCATTGAGTTGAGGATGGATTTAGCATGAGTATTTGTCATTATATCTTTGGGGGCCATAATGCCTCCCATCAAGCAAGATGGAGGAAGAACAACAGCGGTCTTTGGACTCTGCAACTACAAAAAAATAAAGAGCACTTGTCAATAAACGGGGCCCTGAACATCCTTAATTTGCTTTACAAATTCAGGAACTAAGAAGAGGCTTCCCCAGATGCAAACATCCACAAGTAAAGGGCACTTCTATCTCTAGAATCACCACCATGATCCACACAACTTTCCAAGTGAAACTTATCTGTTCTGCTGGACAATGGCACATACCTGTAATCCCCGCACTCTGGAAGGCAGAGGCAAGAGGATCACAAATTTAAGCTTTGCCTGGGAAATTTAGTGACTTAGCTAGATACATATTTTTCCTTATTACTCACTAAATGATACTTTGACAACTATTAACATGGCATTTATATTATATTGAGGAGCCGGGGAGATGGCTCAGTAGAATAAGTGCTTCCCTGGCAAGCACAAGGGCCTGAGTTCAATCCCCAGTTCTAAAAAAAAAAAAAAAACACCTTATATTGAGCATGAGTAATCTAGGGAACAACATGTATAGTATATGGGAGATGGGCATAGGTTATATGCAAATACTACATTTGCCATTTTATGTAAAGAACTTCAGCATGTAGAGATTCTGGTATGGTGGTGGTGGGGTCCTGGAATCCCCAGTAGACATCAAGGATTGATTTTTGTGGAATGAAATGAGCCAATGAAAGACAAATCAAAACTGTGGTCTTTGAAAGTCCATTACTAACTGGGCATGGTGGGACACCCCTGTAATTCTAGCACGTGGGAGGCTGAGGCAGGAGGTTTACCGAGAGTTGAGGCCAGCCTGGACTACACAGAAAGACCCTCACCTCAAAAAACAAAAAAAGTCCATTACTCATTTATAATTTTTGAATACAAAAAGATTGTACATACAGGCTACATCATAATACAGGCTACATTATCTTCTACTTATTTACAGTTACCAGTTACTCCATAAACACTACAGACATTTTCTCCAACCACTCAGCAAGATCCATTTTACAGCAAAGGAAGGGATTCGGCAAAGCGGGTATGTTTTCAGAGTTCCCTAAGTCAACTTAGTTGCAACTCTGAGGATGCAAGAAAGGTCTAAACAAATGTCCACTGGCTGCGAAGATTTTCTGGGGCGCTACTACAGGGTTCTCTGTGCCTTGGCTTCATATGTGTGTCAAAACAAAAAGTCGCCTTAGTGCAGAATGGTCGTTCTCTTGGGGTTCCTGTCTCACCCAGCAGCCACAGACACCATTCCCCCTCACCTTTTGGAAGTGGTCTGTTCTCTAACTTGAGCTAACACCTGAATAGGAGATTAGAGGCGGAGGACAGTATCAAATTCTAAAAGGCTCAATTCCAGACTAAGAAACAGCACCGAGTCTACAGCTGGTGTCGCGGGGTGGAAGGACAGGAAGGGCGCAGTGCAGGGGACAGTGGAGAAAGCACTTTCGAGGCGGGATGCCCCCTCTCCTCCTCTCCCTAGGTCTCCACTTCCACCTGGCAGGATGACGAAGGGTGGGGGGGCAGGGCCACGAGCGCCAGCTGACGGTAGGAAGGAAAGGGCTGGCTGGCACCAGGTCGCCCCTACTCACCTCTGCTTCCTGCCACCCAGTCGGCGGGCCCCGGCCCCGCCCGAGGCGATGGGATAGGCGCGGGGCCAGCAGGCGGCTCAGCTGGGGCCGAGCGCGGCCGCCCAGGCCCCGGGGCTCTGGAGGCGTCGCCAGGGATCTTCCCGGCGAGCTCTACAGGCCGCGCGACTTGATGACGCATCAGCCCCGCCTTCTTCAACCCGCCCACTCCCGGACTTGGTCACGTGACTCGCGTGCGTGCAGCACCGGAGCCCAGGTGTCCAGCTTTAGTTACGCTTTCAAAAAGCTGGAAAGCAAAAGGTGGACCTGGGACGCACGGACAGGGAGGGGGCGGGAGCTCTGCAGCCCGGTGACTGCCAGAGCCACTTTCTCGCACGCCTCTCCGGGCCGGCGGACAGAGAGCTGGTTTAGGTTTTGCGTGCTGGGGATGCGATTCCAGGGAGCAGGCTTTACCTGCGACGTGGGCGGGAACCTTCTCAGGCCGAGGAGACTCCCAGAGGCTTCGCAGCTCTTCGGGTCCATGGTCCACGGCTGCCTCTCACGGGGCGCACGGCTGTAGTGAGAATCTCCGCAGTCCCCGCGTTCTCTGCATCATAATGGGCCGGTACTAGTCGGGCAGGTGTTGGTCTAAGACAATGAAGTGGAAGGAGCTTGCTCCCGTCAGGTGGACACGCAGGAAGACTATTTTTAGACAAGTTCTGTAGTCCTTCTCTACGCTGTCCTGACTTCTCACCATGTTACTGGAGCTACACAGTTCAGGAAGTTGGCTTCCCATTGATTTTGGCGCACTTACGTCAGTATCTGAGAAGTTACCTGATACAACGTATGTGATTGTTCAAACTAAGTGTATTTGGTTTTAATTGGGCCTTTTGAGTCTTTTTTTTCTTTTTTCCTTGTAGTACTGGGGATGGAACCCAGGTGCTCACACATGCTAGGCAAGCGCACTACCAGTAAGCCACTCAGCCCTATATTTTTTTGAGACAGGATCTCTGTAGTTCGGGCTTGTTTTAAACTCACCATGCAGTCCAGGTTGGCCTCGAGCTGTGACATAAAACAGGAAATAAAGGGCCGGGGAGATAGCTCAGTGGCACAGTGCCTGCCTGGCAAACACAAGGTCCTGAGTTCGATTCCAGGTACTAAAAAAACCAGGCTATAAACAAGAGCTCTTCTGTCTTAAACTTTATTTCACCTTAGGCTGTGCTCCTCCACCGTAGACACTAAGGTTGCAGTTACAGTTACAAGGATATTTGCTACTTAAATTTAGGGAACACCTTGTCTCCAGCGAATCTCTCCCCACCCCCCCCAGCAGCCACTTAGCCCAGCAACTCTTTCAGCCAGCCAGTGAGGAGGTCAGCTGCCTTAATGGGACATACAAGGAGCTGCTGTTGCAGGTAGGTGTGCTTAAATTCTTTTGCAGAAGTAAACTTTGTCTTTAACAAGATTTTTTTTTTAAATTTTATTTATTTATTTGTGTGTGTGTGTGTGTGTGTGGCCAGCTCAACCCACCAGGGGGCGGGGCTGGCTGGCATGTGGTGCTGGGGGATTGAACCACGGTCCCTGTGCTTTGCTAAGCTTGTTCTAAGTAGGTGCTTTAGACCACTGAGCCGTTTCACCAGCCCCTAACAAGATTTCTTGATGTCTGAGTGCTTTATTTATGCACTGACCAATTGAGCTTGAGGTTTATTGCCAGCAGAACCCACAGCAATCCTGCCTCAGTCCAAGTGCTGGGATTACAGGTTTGTGCCACCATTCCTGGCAACCTTTGTTTCTTATGGATAATAACTTTAGTAATATTTCCGCTTTTCATATGTCCTCCAGGTCTAAAACTTTCCAATTAATGTAAATTCTGTTGGGGATATTTTGGAAATACTCATCAAAAATGTGAATTGCTATGGCTTGTATCTAGATGTCCCCTCAAACCCTCATGCCTTATGGGTGGAGAGTTTGGAAGGTGGCTGGATTTGGGTGTGAGAATGTGGATTAGGGGAGTGACACTGGGATTAAGGGTGTGGATAATAGAAACCCCAGAGCCAGGGGGATAACTTGGAGGCCTAAGTGCCTGCCTGGCAAGTCCAAGGACTTCGGTTCGATCAAGTTGACATTTATATCCATATTAAAAAATAAAAAAGCCCCACTCTGGATGTGGGGTGGCACCCAGGGCAAGAGGGAAGGCAGCCTTGCAGTTGCTGCTTTGCTGTTTTCTCCCTACTGTCAAGGGCTGTTTTTCTCTACAATGCCCCTCTGCCATGCATCCTGCCTTGGAGCCAGCCAGTACGGACTGAAACGACTACAAACTGGGAGCTGAAATAAACCATTAAAAAAAACAAAAACAGAAAAAACTTGTATCAGGTATTTTGCCTTAAGGAGAAAAGCAACCAAGACATGAATGAAACATCCGTCTTGTACACATGTAGAATAATATATGTACAGAGCTTGTTCACTGCAGCATTCTTTGTAGATGACAGAAAACCTTAAATATCTACTAGTAGGGAACTGATAAAGTTAAGTGTGGTACAGCCATTCGGTCCAATATGCTGAAACTGTAAACTGTATGGTTTCCTATTATTTATGTAAGAAAGAGAAAATATATTCATATTTTCTTGAACGTGTATAAAATTAAAATGTAAAGTGGTAACATTACTTTCTTGGTGGGATCATTTTTGAGATGGTGAGGAGGGTTTTTCCTCTATCTTTATCCCTTTTGAATTTTGCATGGTGTAAATTAAAAATGTGCATTTTTTTTTTTCTTTTTGTACTGGGAATCACTTAAGACCTTGTACTTGCCTGGTAGGCACTTGTGCTACTGAGCTATAGCCCCAGCCCATTTAAAAAAAAAAAAAATGTATTTTTTGGTACCAGAATTGAACTCAGGATCTTACGTTCGCCAGGCCAGTGCTTTTTGTCCACAGAGGTATATCCCTGGCAGTATGTGCAATTTAAAAGTAATATATTTTCTCAATGCAAAATAGCACTTTAGTGATATTCCCAAATTTCTGGTTGCTAAATTAACAATATTTTCAAATGTGAAAGGAAACTTACTAAAAGAGCCTTTGTTTGGAATATACCCACTCTTTTTCTAGAGAATCAAAGATGGAGAAGCTGTTAAGGAAGTCAACATACTAATGGAAACTATTTCAGAATTCATCTGTTTTCTTCAAGGCATATACAGTATTAGGTCTTTTACAGCAACACGATCCTTCCCATACTGGAATATTTTCACCCATTTGGACATTGACCCAGACTTACTCTGTATTTTTTAGGTATATTCAGGAGGGCTGAATCTAGAAAAGGCTAGTCAGTCAAGTTCCATATCATGCTTTGATGGTGTGGGCACCTGGCGTGATTCTGTGTGACTATAGCTACTGAAGGCTTTCAGTAAGCAAACACGTGGGGATTTGCCTTGAAAGCAGATCAGTGGTGGTAAACCTATGGCATGCATGCCATAGACAGGCTGTTACCATGGAAAGCTCTCAAGTTTGCCTTCACTGCCCTAGACCAAGTACATAGAGTATAGGCCACGTCAGTAACTAGCCAGGCTAAAAACATTGCAGTTTGTGTAGTACCAGTGTAGCAGATATGCAAACAGAAGAATGTACCTCTAAGAGATTTAGTGTTGGCCCCGCACTGATGATCAGAGCTTTAGTTCCTGAATTTGTATCTTAGGGGAGGTGACACCTCCCCAGGGGTTTCCTGCCCCTCTGAGGTCAGCTGAGGTAAACAAGCTGACCCTTTTCCAGGGAGATGGGACAAAAGGGAGTTGAGTGTATATACCATCCACAAAGAGCCTTTCCTGGCTTCCTCTTTCCTTTAGTGTGTGAGACTTGCCTCAAGGCCTAGGGCTATCTCTTCTCTGGCTTCCTTCCAGTTTGTATGGAAGCATTTCCCCTAACTAGGCCTTTGCACACTTAATTTCATCTGGGCAGGTGCTTTCTTGAGGAACAGACTTAACACAGAGACCATTTAGGAATTTCTTTGGGTTATATTTATTTATAATAATCTTGGTTATATAAAAATTGAAAATGGATGGTTGACAGATGGTAGAGGAAGAGAGAGAATTTGGACAGTGAGTGAAAGAACCAGAAATCCACAGTTGGGGAAAGAAAGTCATTATCATTTAATGAAATCTAGTGGTGAGGGCATGTTATGTGCTAGGCACTAAAGTAAATGATAAAAACACTAAAGTGTTGCTATGGACCTCTCTTTCCTCATTGAGAAAATGGAGTTGATCATATATGATCCTTAGGCTTTTCAGTCTTGTATTTAAGGACTCCAAACTCAGATGCTTCCAGGAGCCAGCAAATGACTTCAGTAAATCATTCTTAGTGGGCAAAGAAAACACTGGAGAGCCAAAGCCCCTACGAAGGACATACCTGCTTTTGTATTGTGGTCAATTGTTCCAACTTCGCAAAGCTGAATTGTGATCCATAGGTCATCTCTCTGTGACTTCTGCTAAAGTTCTATAAGGATACTTTTTTCACTGTGGTTTTTATTTATTCATGATGTAACAGAATGGTGAAATTTGTTTGGGCAATTTGATAAATACATTTTTAATCTTGATCATTTTCTATCCTATTACCCCCTTCTTTCTCCTCCCTTCTCTCATGGATCACCTTCCATGTCCAAGTCTACCTCCTAATTTTCCTGTTGTCTCTTCACCACCTTTTAGTTTTCTCTTATCAGGGAAAACATAGTGTTTAACTTTCTGAATCTGACTTGTTCAATTGGATGGTCTCTAGTTTCATTATGGCTAAATGACAGTAATTATGTTTATAGACATATTCTTTATCTGTTCATTTGTTAATAGGCATCTAAGCTGTTTCTGTAGCTTAGCTATCATGAATTACACCACTATAAACAGGGGCATGGGGCTGAGGATATAGCTTAGTGGTACAGTACCTGCCTGGCAAGCACAAGGTTGTGAGTTTGATTTCTGGTACCAAAAAAAAAAAGGTATGCCATGTATGCTGCCCCCAAATTCACAATCCTGTTTCAACCTGCTGAGTACTGGATTACAAGTATGCATCAATGTTTGGTTCCTTAAGCGTATTTGGAAACTTACAAAAAGTTTAGAAGCTAGATATGATGGTATACCCTATAATACCAGCACTTGTGAGGCTGCAGGAGGATTTTAGATGCAAGGCCAGCCTGCGCTAGTG